ATCACGTTGGTTGCACTAGTGCCCTGTGGGTATTTCATTTACCGGTTGATGATATTCTACAACGCCGCGAACCGCGAGATCCGCCGCACCAGCAGCATTGTCAAGTCGCCACTTTTCTCCTTGTTGGGAGAGGTGCTGAGCGGAGCTTCAATCATTCGTGCATATGGCCGTGAGAGCGCGATCATACGAGAGACTTTACGCCGGCTCGATCTGGTTTACTCCTGCAGCTCTCTGGAAAATACCGCAAACCGCTGGTTAGGCGTTCGAATATATTTTTTGGGCAACATCGTTGCCACTACCATCATGACTGTCGGTGTGGTTATGGTGATGTCTGGTCGCCTGAAAGATAATATCGGTATAATATCGCTTTCGCTAACACTTTCGTTACAAACGTTGGAGCAGCTCATTTGGCTGGTCCGCTGCGTTGCTTCTGTAGAAGCTGACATGAACAGCGTGGAGCGCATCATTTACTACACGAAGGAAACGCCAAAAGAAGATATACCGGAGCTGAACGCGGAGGTGGACGCATTGGTGATGTGTGATAACTTGAAAACTAAAAAGATTACTCTGGATGTCATGGTGGAGGCCGATGGCTCAGCGGCGATGTTGGAGGATAAGGCCCAAAGTGGTTCACTAGAGCTCCGCAATGTCGATCTTCGATATCGAGAGGGACTACCACTGGTGCTGTGTGGTGTTAGCTTCCGAATCGAGCCAGGGGAGAAAATCGGGATTGTGGGTCGGACCGGTAGTGGCAAGTCAACGCTACTGCTGGCTTTTATGCGAATGGTGGATATCAGCGGAGGGGATATTATCGTGAATGATGCGCCAATCCACTCTTTGCCTGTCCGCAAGCTGAGGCAGTTGTTTTCTATGATTCCACAGGACCCTCTACTGTTTGAGGGGACGGTGCGGCAGAACCTGGATCCTTTCCTAGAGTCATCCAACAAGGAGTTGTGGCACGCGCTGACTCTTGTTGGCATGTACACACGAATCTCAAATGAGGCAGAGGGCATTGACTGCCGTGTGCAGGAAGGTGGTGCTAATTTTAGTGTCGGCCAGCGTCAGCTTCTGTGCATGGCTCGTGCAGTGCTGAAGAAAAACAGCAGGTTTATTTTGATGGACGAGGCCACCGCGAACATTGATCCCGAAGTGGACCAATATATTCAAAGCACTGTGATGAGGACATTTGCAGCATACACGGTGATCACGATTGCTCATCGATTGCAGACGGTTGCACAATACGACAGGATCATCGTAATGAACAACGGCAGAGTGGCAGAAATAGGCAGCCCATACGATCTTGTAACGAGGCAAGACTCGATTTTCCGAAGCATGGTGAACTCAATGGGGTTTTCCGCTACTAGACAATTTATGGAAACTGCTGATGCATCCAATTTGGTTCGGCGTTAACTTCGTTAAAGCTTCACTTGCTAATCTATTGGGGGTGAGTGTTTCATTATTAAGTTTTGGTTAATTAAATCAGGTTATCATATATATATATATAAATATATATAAACAGAACATATAGATTCTGAACATTAAAAAATCTTCCTTTTAGGATATAATTTCCTTAGTTTTTTAAGTAAATATGTAAATAAAATGATGACGAATTACACATAAATATGGACCATATTTTTTTGTTCTGATGCAATATGGTGCCGAATTTACGTATCGGAGTGCTAAGTATTTTTACATCTTATTCCCCTCTACGCAGGGCGAAGCTGAGGAGAGGACCTTATCTTCATCCTTGTCTTCTAAGAGTAAACCCAACTAAGGATAAATTGTTAGTTATCGTAAGCATTCCTGTTAATGTTATGAATAAGTCAACAATTATAAATTATTTTGTTGTACGCAGTATCTATTTCTTCCTTTTAGTGCACCTAAAATTACCCTAATGAGTACGTTTTAATTAAATTTCAAAGTAGATAGATTTTCTAACTGATTCTATAGCTGTGACTTGAACACCTTATGGCATTTGTATTCCTTTTCTATCAAATATTATATTGCTTTCCGTGTTATTCTTTGTATGCCACTTTTATTTTTAGTAACCGAAGGTATGCGGCGTTATTTGTCAACGCTTACTTTCAAGAGGGTTAGATTTCGACAATGGACGCAGGCTTGCGACCAGATGGAAATGAATCGAAGGATCTTTGCAACTACGGTACTGAATTCAAAGAACTTTTTTGGCAATGCTCCTGCGCGTGTGAGGCCTGTAGAAACATCTATGGGGAATGGATTTAGACAAACTGAGCAAGAAATCACCCCTTTAATTGTCATTGCATTTGTTATCATCGCTACGTTGTGGTTGTTGCCCATATTCTCTGCAGGCGAAGAAAGAAAGAGGAAAGTTCTCATGCAATGGGCCTTGGCCCGGCAACAAAAGGAATCGTGAATTATC